AATATTTTGATGAAGAATAAAAGTGCCATCAAAAGAATATTATAGGCGTCCAGATAAATTTGTTTGAATAGGAAATCAAGTAGTATATAGAAAATCTTTCAAAATTTTATGAAAACCTTTTCGAAAGATAATCTTTTTTTTCGTAGAATAAAGTAGAGGCTTTGATCTATCGAATAGTATAATGAGAGCCAAGAAAATGTTTTTTTTCATCTTTGTGAAATCTGCTTTATAAGATAGATATTACAGGGTGTTCAAATAATTATTTTACATACTGTAGGTCTTTTTATTATTGTGTGATCGTGAATATGCTGAAAACAATCGAATAAAAATGGTCGAAATACCCAATGAAAAAGTATAAATCAGTAGTATTGCTTCACCTACTCACATACCTCCATAGCTGAAATACCACACATAATCTTGATACTCATAGCCGCTCCTGCATATACACAATGCTTCTGTACATAGACCGATGTTCTACTATATGTATGTGTCTATATCACACATACTCTGTATGCCACGATGAGATTCCCAATCGAACATTTTTTTTTTGAAAGGTCAGATTTTGAATGTCATTCAAACACATCAACCAATGATTAAAAGATCGTCGATAGGGAATGCTAGAAATAGGTAATAAATGCCTTATTTTGCCCTGCATCTACATTGTGCAAAAGGAAAAGCATCTTGAGATATGACTTATTTCGTTTCAGTTCGTCCACACTTGCTCAGAAAAGATGTTTCAAACAGTCTTAATGTGTTCTGTTGTAGTTCACGTACAACACAATCAGGAAAAAATTATTATTTTGATTATTTATTTATTTGTTTTTCCACATCATATTGCACTATAAAAGTAAAATTGAAAAAAAAATAAAAACGTGGAAAAATCCAATTCGGTTTGTTCAAAATTTGTATCGAAAACTAGCCAGATCTAGGCAAAAAACCGCACTAAATCGTTTAATAACCTTTTGAAGTCAAATAGAAGGAAACATATGCAATTTTATTTAAAAATAAGAAAGAAATTATCAAAATTTCTGTAATTTACATAAGTTCAAAACTCACAAAGCAGCCATTTTTAGAGCATGGAATTACCGGAATCGTAAAACTTGTAGCAAATCTGAATATGGTTGAACTTCTACAGACTATTAGAGCGACAAAACAATCTTTTACGTTGTAACAAAAAAAAGCGTCCTTGAGTATAAAAAATCCATCTGTATTATTTTTCACCTCAAACCATGAAATGACAAGAGTACAGACAAAGATAACAACTTATAAGTCATAAAACAATGCGTATCTTCTCACCATCGAATCTTCAGTATATGTTTACTTACTATGAAAGAGTCGTCAATATAGGCTTGGTTCATGTTAATTCACTCACAATAATGTAAAAGAAGTTTTTTTGAGAACGTGAAAAGTTAGTTGAACTGCGTAACCGAACAGATTTTGGTCCCTACCAACTGTTTCACTTATCTTTCTGGAATGCATATCGGAGAATGTAATTCACATAGAGTACAGACTTCAAAAAACCGACTTCTCAGATTGACATTTCCATGTAAGTGAAATAAACTCGCTTTCAAGTTATGGCAAACTCATTCCGGACTATAGGCGACTAACTATAAAAATATTGTTTTTAGCTATTGAAAAACGTGTGACTATGTATCTGAATAGTTCCACATTGTTATCCTGCAAGAGAACGATAAAGATCTTTCTTCTGATTTTTCTCTCTTTTCCAGTTCTTACTGTTTACAATGTCTCGCAATGCTCTCGTTACTGGTGCTGCTCGAGGAATTGGACGTGCCATTGCTCTCCGTCTTGCTAGAGATGGTCTTAATGTTGCTGTGAACGATATCAAAAGAAGTTCTTCAGGTCTCAACAAGGTTCACCAAGAAATCGAAAAAATGGGTCGAAAATCTGTCGCTATAACTGCTGATGTTTCTGTTGATAAAGAGGTCGAAACCATGATGCAAAATGCTGCAAAAGAACTAGGAAGTTTGGATGTAAGCATCTATTTTTTTCGATTCTTTCATCTTTTTTCCAGCTAATAATATAGGTGGTAGTTGCTAATGCAGGAATTGCCCAAGTGAATCCAATTGTTGATATTACTACAGAAGATTGGGATAAGATATTTGCAGTCAACACACGTGGTGTGTTTCTTTGCTACAAAGAAGCTGCTAAAGTCATGATTGCACAAGGTACAGGAGGAAAAATCATCGGTGCCTGCAGTATAGCCGGATACACATCAGGTCCAATGGTGAGCCATTATGCTGCCAGTAAATGGGGTGTGCGTGGTCTGACACAAGCTGCTGCTATGGAATGGGCCAAACATAAGATTACAGTCAATGCTTACTGCCCAGGTATGTTTCATACCGTTTGTTTTTTTGAAATACAATCCTAATGATCGAAACAGGAGTTGTCAAAACTGCCATGACGGATATGGCTGATGAAGAATTGACAAAAATCCAAGGAAAGCAAAAGGGAGACATGTTCAAATCTTACGAAAACGAGAAGATAGCTCTTGGCCGAATATGCAAGCCGGAAGATATTGCAAGTTTAGTGTCGTATTTGGCTAGTCAAGACTCTGATTATATGACTGGACAGAGTATTATCATTGATGGAGGGATCGTGTTTTCTTGATTTCAAGTTATATCAACTTTAAAAAAGGACTTTACCCATATATGTCTTGTATCAGAATTTTTCATTATCCGATCTTAATAAAAAGAGAGAGAAAGAAAATTGATCAACAGTTGTGAACTTTAGACAAAAATATCGTATAATCAGAACTTACAAAGCTACAATAACAAAAAAACTTATATTCTAAAACAACTGCATGATATTTTTCAAAATATCATGTCTTCGTGCAATCAACACCGTAGCAAAGAGAAAATTGCAGTTGTCAACATAACATGATTATTTCTAAATGGATTGAAATAGGCATAAATCTCGTCTGCATTGAACTAGGACAAAAATTCCATCGAAATTTTTATAAAACTCTTGTACCAGATGTCCTCAACAACTATACCGAATATTCTTGTGCAACAAAAATTGATCTTACTCCGTTCTGATGTACGAGCGCCTCTAGGTGTAGATATGAGTATCAGTGGTGGTGCGGGTGTGTGGATCTTCTTTTCACACACATCTACATCCAAAACTTAGCATTTATAAACTATTCTGTGACTGTTTTTCATGTATTCATCTGCAAGTTACGTTTTCTCGTCCCATATGATAAAAACCGGCGGTTTACTACGATTTTATTGGTTCGGTTATCGGCTTCCATTGCTACAATTAACTGTGGTAAATTGCCGATTTTGATAAATGCTGCGATTTACCTCGGAAAACGATCCGATTTTTGCGACACGGAGTATTTATCTATCGACTGTAAATGAACCGATGTATTCTTTACTGTGCATCACTAAGAGGTTTTCCTATTTTAACAACACGAATGAAACGTGGAAATTATAATCAGTTTTATTGAACATATTTTTATGAAATATACACGGTTTCGAATTAAAAGTATATTTTTGCAAGTTCCATAATAGAGTAAACCGATCGAATGTTGAAATTGTTATAACTATCAACTCTAGTTTTAACTTTTGACCATAGTTACAATCTTAAATCTTATCGGGAACTAGTTTGATTATAGTTACTAATCAATACAATTTTTAATATTGCTCAAGACTTGAGACTAATTAAAACTACGTATTAGTCATATCCATGTCATAAATAAGATAGGCTTACATCATGCATTAACAGTCAAATCTGCTCTTGTTGCTTTGATTTCTTTATTCTTTTGTTTTTCTTTTCACGTTTATCGATATAATAACGCAAAACAACGAGAATCACAGAACAATATACGTGCTGATGAAAGTAGTGGTGGATGTATAAGAATGAACAGAGAATAAGCTGATATAGTTATTTTTTGTTCAATTAAAATATACATGATTATACTAATAGGAAGCATGATCTAAATTTCCTTACAACATATATTGAAGATAATGGTCATTTTAGAGAATAAGAAATAGAATATAGTAGTTGCAGTTCTTAAATACTGTTGTCAGCTACTCACATTTTAAAGATCATTATTGATCATATCGCGAAAAATATATTGTGTCACATATGTGCATTCGTGTTCGACATACAACTACAAGAAAGCATAACTTGCAGATGAATGTATGAAAAAATATTCAGAGAATAATCTTTATATACTAAGTTTCTAAAGTAAAAAACAATCCGTGATACTCATTGAGTGCATGGTCCGTATGTGGATCGTCTCTTGCGTGCAACGTCTCGTATAAAGTTTTATCTACCAGAATTAGTATTTTTCCAATGGTCTAAATACTTTTACAAAATTAATTATTTTGTTATCATCATTATTTACATCTGCCCTGCGAATAGTATGATGATTTTAATTTTTGAAAATTATCAATAATTAATAATGCTAAGAAAAAAGGATCATATAATTCAACATCTAAAAGATATCTTTACTTCATGAAATTATATTGATTAGTAAATACATCAGAGAAGATTAGTTTTATCAAAAGATATAGTCTTGGACAAAAGTAGCTGCTCTCTTCTCCATAAAATGCTACTATACTTTGTGATATTGAATTGATATATTCAATGCATACATATGATAATAAATCTGAACCATAAGCATCAACTCGTTCTCCATCGATTCACATGTACTGAAGTTATGATTCCGATATCATCTTCTTCTTGTGATCACTTTAAATTTTATTAGAAAGTTCTCATGAAACAACAAGTCTGTTCTAAAAGTTTTAGAGCTGCACCACTGAATGAAGCCGAATTAGCACTACGGCATGAATACACTATCTCAAGGAGTACTCATTACTAAGATCTTGATTCTGTGTCACAGACTTTGGTAATAATGAAGTAGATATATGATACAACCTTTAACAAAAACTTTTGAGTGCATATTCTCTCTAGAAAGTGTGCAGTTTCAATAAACTATTCACTGATTTACTTGACATATCTATACTATATGTGTCAATCATAACTGCAGTACATGTAAACCGATGGGAAATGGATTAGGGCTTGTGATCAGAGTTTATTGTCGCATGCATGCATTCAAAATATCAGTTCAATACCATAAAGAATGGTAATACTTCATGGAGGGAGGAAGAGTGGCAACGACTTTTGTCTAGGAAAATAATCCACGGTACGCAAAAAGAACAAAATAGTCATTTTGATATAGGCCATATTGTCTTTTAATAATAAACTATTTTGTACAACCATTATCGAATCAAATGTATCTTTCTTATTAACTATTTGTAGTCGAACATTTATTGTTTTTTTTGTGTTGATAAAGGAGAAGGAACTTTAAGTTCTCGATATCGTATCTAAATTAAAAAGACAAGAAAAAAAAATATATTTCTCTCGTTCTAAAAAAAACAAAAAAAGAATTACTAACTAGTTCAGGATCAGAAGGTAATCGTGACATAAAATCAGCCAATTCATTATTAGGAACATAATCTTTAGGTTTACCAAGTCGTTTTGTAAATTCTCTAATGATAACTGCAAGAATTAAATATCGAAGTGGAATATAATAGAGTCCTATTGCAACAAATATAAGTAGAATAATAAAGAGAATTGATAACCAAGGAACAGCGAAATTAAATAAACTAAAAATACAAAAGAATATTTTTATGAATAAATATTATACTAAAACTTTTCTATTACTTTCTAATCCGTTCTAATGTTGAAGCAGTAGCATCTATATAACCTTGTATTTCAATAAGTGTCTCCTGAATTGTACGTATAACATTAGTAAATGATATCTTCTGTTCCTTAAAAAAAAAAACAATTTATTTTTGAAATTTTTATATTAATTTACTTTTGTATTAATATCACTATCTAGGATTTCTTCATCTATAAGATCTGTTTGTACAATGGCTGATACTGTTTCATTATCTATATTTGCATGAGATTTTTCAAGATAACGTCGACGATATCCTATAATAACATTTCGTGCCAATAAGAACAAAAGTAAAGAAGGTAACATATATAATTCAAAATTCCAAATAAGAATAAGAGTTACCTAAAATTTTTATTATTATAAATAATATTTTGATAATTATTTTCTTACCATTAAAACTGAAAAACTCAATCGTGGATTTTCCCATCGAAAACTATAATCAATAAATTTTACTACATTAATGACACCTTTTAGCATATTTTGAATACGTATTAAATGTTGTTTTATGGCCTTAAAAATGAATAAACATCAAAATAAGAAAGCTGTTAGCACAATCCCTACGAGTTTTCTTCATCACCCTTTTACTTAATCCTCATCGTCATAGTTGAGTGATTACATTGTTGGGCACGTGTCTACTGGCCATGAAATTACCCTGCACAAGTCACTAACAGATGTTTGTCTCGGATCACCCGCTCGATAGCATTTTGACTAAGTTGTGACATACATCTGCCTTTGTGGCTAGTTGTATGTACGAGGAGTTCAAGCAATTGAGTGCAAGAACTCTGCGTCAGATCACCTCTATGTCCAGAGCTACGGTTAGTATTAGTAGTAGGGAAGATGTCGGGTTATTGAGTTTTCAACTACATAGTAGTCCATATCGTAAGATAGAAGTAATCTTCCTACGTCTGTCACGATTTGTGAATGGAAGGGGCATAGGCAATGAAATGTTTTGATTCTAAGATAGGCTTAACATTTTTTTATAAGGTTCTCATCTGGAAGTTAAAAATGAGTGAAGACGAGTTTTTGAATGCCACTTGGATGAAATATAGTTAATGTCTCTTCTATGGAACCCACATTGTGCAAAGTGTAACAATGATGAAGATCAGAAAAAAAATTCGTAACTTACATAAAAAAAAACCACGCATATGAAGAAAAATGCGAACATTTATGTTCATCTAAATGTTCTTTAATAAGCATGTAATCTCAGTCGCTGAAGGTGAAGGAAAATATTAACAGATGCTAGCAAGTCTGCTTAATTAAGAAAGTATTACTATTAGCCACCGGACGTGGCACAAAAAATATTATTGGTTGTTCAAATTGATTAATCTGATGGAAGGAGAAAAGTGTTTGAGCCTACTGTAGCCTACAATTGAGTAAATCTAGGGTAGACCTTTGCTTTTTCGAGCCTTGCGGTTCCACCGCCTATGTTTATTGCACATGAGTTAGTAGTAAATAAAATGTGAATTGATATTTGTTAGATAACAATGAAAATCAAACAGTAATAGAAAATTTTTACGATAATTAGAGCCTATCTAAGCCTTTAACTATTCAATATAAGGTGGACTCGAGCCTACCCAGACCTCATGGCTTCATTGTCTATGGACGGAGGAAGTACAAGTTTCTACCCGTATTCTTTAGCACTCCTTTTTAGACAGTGTTTGACAAAAGAAGAATTTATATTATTAACTATACATACAATGGGATTAAATTTTTCATTATTTTGATAATATGATTGTTGTCTTGGATTAAATGTTCGAATGACTGCTTTAAGCTAAAATTACAAAAAAAGAAACAAACAAAGAAACAATAAAATAAATAAAATTTTCTTTCAGAAAAATTTTTTGTACATTTGTATAAATAAATGTTGCTTCTATTTCAATAGCACCTTTAACAGGTAATATGCATTTTCGATCTTTTAATG